TTTTTACTCCTTACTGAATTGTTGCGTAATTATTAGTTGTTACCAAAACGGACAAGAATTATGAAAAAGGTAGTATATTAGGGAGGAGAGAAAAGGAGGGCGGTTAACCGACCGCCCTCGCCCTGTTAATTACAACGACCTTTTTCTTTTGTCAACTTTTATGTTTTTTGTTTCAAGACAACTATTCACCTTCACCCTCTTCACTACTATTAGTTTTAATAAAGTAAGCAATGGCTCCGAAAACAACCACTACTATCGCAATAATTGTCACGATACCCCAACCGGTTCGGAAAAATGGCGTTTTATTATTAGTATTTTGGTCTTTCTTATCATCATTTTTACTATGTCGTTGGTCGTAGGCTGATTTTAAGGTTGCTTGCCGGTTTTTTAATTCCACCAGTCAACTTTCCAAAAAGGCTTTTCCGGTGCCAAATTTACTATCTAAACTGTCTAATTTTTTCCGGGCAACCCCTTTCTTATCAGTATCGCTGGCCTTGATATAGGCTTCCAAATCACTAACATCTTTATTAATTTTCTGGTAGTCGTTATCGCTTGTTTCATTATAAAGACTTAGGGAAGATTTATCAATTATTTCTAATAATCTTTTTACCTCGGCAGTTTTTTCTTCGTCTGATAAGGTTTTTAATTTGACTGCTGCTTGAGCTCGCTTGATAATACTTTCTTGCGTTTTACTTTCTTCACCCTTCGTTCGCACCTCGTTCACATCGGTAAGTTTAATCAAATCTTCATATGATTTTTGGTTTTTCTTATCACTGGTTTCTACTTTGGCAAGAGCCGTTTCTGCGAATTTTTTACCAGTTTCTTTTTCGTAATTGTTAACTTTGTTTCACGCCTCCTTGCCTTTAAATCCGGCTATTTTACTTTTTAACTCCACTATTCGACTTTCAGTTGGACTACCATAAGTTTCTTTGCAATAACCAAATAATTCTTTAATGTCCTTGGCTAATTGAATACTTTCCACACTTTCAATTTCGGTTTTGGCTATCGCATCATTTTCATTATTCATTTCGTTTTTGGCCGCCGTTATCGCACTGGTTAAGTCTGCTTTGGCTTTGGTTAATACCCGCTCGGCTCAACCTTTACCACTACTATCTTTGGTGTTATCATTAACCATGTCCCAAGCGGTTTTCTTATCACCCCCCGTTGACAATGCTTCCAAATCACTTGGCTTATCAATCATGCCGTCTAATTTATCCACCAGCATTTTTAAGGCATCAAAAACGGCATCCGTTTTTTTGGCATCCGTATCGGGTAAGACTTTAAAGGCCTGGTAAACTTTTTCTTTATCACTGCCATCTGTGGCTGCGGTTATTAAACTATCCAGTTCGCCGACTTTGTTAAATTTTTTTGTTTGAGGACCACTCGTTAATACTGCCTCTATGGCCGCAATTTGCTGCTGAATTTTTTTCTCTCAATGTTCCCCCAATTTTTTTTTATTATTATCATTATCACTTTTATACTTTTTTAAAATTTCTAACGCTGCTTTATCACTTTCTAATTCAGTTTTATCATTATTTTTATTTTTAGTTGAGTAATCTTTATCAGCATACTTAACCCATTCAGTAAGAAAAGCACTTACCACACCATAGGCTTTATCAACTTTATCTCGGGCATTACCAGCCGCTCCTCCCGTGTCGTGATTTCAATTACATTTGGTAAGGTCAGGGTTCGTGGCTCATTCCGCAGCACCAGTACCATCAAAAAGATTAGTAGTTTTATTATAGACATTACCACTATCGCCACCACACTGCTGACATTTAAGAGCAGCATAATAAAAATCAAGGGTATCTTTTCTACTTCACCCCTTAACCTCATTGAAGTAAAGTAAACAATTCAGATCATCTTTTTGGTATCTTTCATCAATCCGGGAGGTAGTACCCGCAACATCTACAAAATAATGTTTACCAAAAAAGGCTAGATTAATCGCTTCCTCCAAACTCGGGGCGTATCAGATATCTTTGGCAATTTTAGTAATTCTTTTTCCCGTTGCAATAGCATCAGCACTGCTCATATCCTCTCCATGACCGCCATAACCAGCAGCAGTAATATCACCCGGTTTGAAACCTCGTAATTCTTTCGGATCGGTATTTTTGTAATAATCTATACCATCCCAGGAACCACCAAATCAATTTGCGTGACGGAAAGCAATTAACTCTCGGGCAGTAGGTTTAAGGGTAGCAAAAGGAGTAAATTCTTTGCCAAAAAGACTTTTGCTGGCATTAGAAACAGCGGCAGCAACAGTTTGAGTGCTGTCAAACATTTTAAATCCCGTGAATTTTTTGTCAACGATTAATTTTTTAATATTATCTATGTTAGTTTTGGCATTAGCATTATCAGTTGTGCCATCAGCCTGCTTTTCCACCAGAGCATTATTACCAATCGTAGCCATTGCCCCCCCCCGTGAACTTATAGTAAATCCATTAGCATTGGCTTGTAATATTTCGTCAACAGTATTAAACCCGCCCGCCTTTCAAACTTTAAGTTCAGAAAGTGTTTTGATAGCATAATCAATCATTTCTTTGTAATGTCGACCCCCATTCACACTGGCTCCAGTAGCACCTATTAATGGAACATTGTCAAGAGTATAAAGAGATTTTTCCGGACTGCCGCCCGCTGTTGCATTTTTAACTCAGTAATTATTTAGTAAATTAAGGTCGGCTTGAATATCGGTAGATTGAAGATCAACAGCAAAACCATATTTACTTCCGATTGCTTTCATATCATCTTCTAATTTTTTTCAGGCTGCTCTTTGATCCGTATAAAGGGTATAGGGAGCAAATTTATCCGCCGCCGTTTCATCGGGAGCATCTATTTGCACCTTATCAAGACTAAACCCACCAGTAAAGTCCGTTGAAACTAATCAAATTGTGGCATCATTAGTCCCACCGAGAGGCATAGTTTCCTCATCCGTGCCAGCCTCCACACCATTAAGAACAATAATTCATTTATTATTATCCCCACCGCCGGCTCCACTTCTCAAACTTCCTCGTAATTTCACCAACCGAGCCAAAAGTTCGGCATTTTTTTCATCACATTCAATAACAACATGAGAAATGTCTCTCAACACTTTCGTAGTAGCGGGAGCATCTCGTTTTTTGAAACTATCACCACCTGCTATATCGGCTCCACTACTCTTTTTACCTACCACATATTGATTATCAACTTCTAACATAACGACACCGTTACCAACATTAAGAATACTTTTTTCTATCTCAATATTTCTTATTTCAAATTTTAATTTAATTGCCATATTTTAATTCGGATTTTTCAAATGTATGCTTTAACTCTGCTTTTTTAATTCTCATAATATAATTATTTAACGACTTATAAGATATTACACTACCAAAAATCAAACAGTAATTTAATATAATTTTTTGGTAGCAAGTGTTTTATTGCAGTATGCAAAATTAATGAAACTAAATTACAAAGTAATTCAATAAAGAGAAAAAGGCAGGCAATTAAAATGAATAGCGTAATAATGTAGTTGACCAACTTCCTTTTAGTTTCAGAAAAATTCATCCAATTGAATACCAAATCGAGCAAGTTTTTGTTCAGTAGTTTACTCCTTTTGGATTTTTTTGCTAGCAAAATGTTATATTATATAACATATTAAAAGAGTTCTAATAAATAAGAAGCAAAAAAGTATGAGACTACCCACCTCGAAATATATAAAATATAAAATAATGTAAATTAATTTTTAATTTTGAAAGTTTTTAGCATTATTATATTAACATAAGAAAATACGACCATGCCAAATAAATACCTAATTAAATTTCAATTCTTCTGGTGCCCTTAACGGAGGCACAGAAAAACTAAGAATAGTTAAATAATAAATCAAGGATAAAAACGAAAGAAAAATCATAAATCATCATGCTTTTCCAATTTTTCCTGTTTCTCGGGAGTTAATTCACTCATTCCGTACGTGTCTCAATCGTCTAAATAACTGTTTAGGTAGACTGTTTCTGACCTTAAAGAATTTAAAATCGATAATTCTGGAGAATCGCTGTTATTTTTTAACTCGTCAAGCGTGCTTTTTAAACTTTCGCAGCTTTGCTTCAGATTCTCATTTTCTAGTGCTTGTTTAATAGATGATAAAAGTTTCTTTATTGCTGGCTCCTCACCCTCACTAATTTTTTCGTGAGGGTTATCTTCTTTTTTATTATATTCTAAGCACTTATTCAGTATTTCATTCCATCTTTGTTCGGCTCCTATTAAATATTCTTTTGCTAATTTGTCGATGCTATTCATGGTCGTTATTTATTGTATATGTATATTTGTATAATTTTGTAAATTTTAAAGTTTTTTCTTTTCAAACACCTGGTAATTTATTTATAATCTGCAGGAATATATTTTCATGTCTATATTTCATTCTCCTTAAATCTAATTAACTGTTTAAAAAGTTCCGGGTCTTGCTTTTCCACTTCATCTTCGCATTCTTTAATTATTTTGGTAATATTATCCGCCTCCTCATCTTGTTTATTTTCTCGGACAATTTCTACTAATTCCCGAAAAATAAGCCCATTAAAAGGAGCGTTTCTACTTTTGATTAATGCTTCTTCCACATCAGGAAAAGATTTGCCGGGATTATTAGTGAAATCCTGCATTCACATGCGTAGATAAGCTTGCACTGCCGCATAAGGTCTTTTTTCTGGTTGAGAATCGTTTCTAGTTATTAGCATAGTGTTTTAAATTTAATCTTATAACTCAACTTTTTTCGCAGGTGCATTGTAAATCACTTTCAGAGCTGACACTTTTACTCCTTCCGGATTTCTTCTCGTTGGAGCGGACACTTGTTTATCATAATTAGTTATTTCAATACCTTTGGCTATTCAATGATAGTCAGCCACCTTTTCCATAATCTCCTTGCTCTTAAATTCTCATTGGGTAGGAACGTATTCCCCTCCCCTATCAGAAAACATTTTATTCAATCCTTTGTTAATTATTGTATTTAATACTTCTCGGGCATCATTTTTGTTTAAGCCAGTTAAGCCAATTAACGGATTAGAGAAATCAACTTCAATCTTTTTAGTAATGTCAGTTTGTCTCTTCAAGAAAGTAGCAATCATTAATTTAAGAATTTCTTTAGCTTGGTCT